TGCACATATTTGAGTTTCAGTCAATCACTTACATGGTGCAGCTGGTTGCACACTGGGAACAGCCATTCTTGTAAGCCTTGTGTGCCCAGGGTCCATGAAACTTTGAGCAGTAAAATGGTCGCTACAAACCCTGTACGTTGCGTACAATAGGCTGGCCGGCTTACTCAGGAGATCATCGCGTCCAGCATACTGCATCCATGCTTTCATCCTGCATTGGCAATGAACTATCAGCTGAAAGGGGAAGTGCTTGAATAGTGATTTTTTATTGTTACCCTCACTTAGCAAGTACGAACAGTAAGCCTACAGACATGCAAACCATACAAAAGCTTTAACACACCTGCCGTCCCGTGGTACGCGGAAGAAACTCGTCCCAGGCTTCTTGTGGGTTCTGCCATTGTTGAAGCACCACGATACACAGCAGTAGCTGCCGTAGCTTGGACCGCCGGACGGCATGGCGTCAGCGCGGTCTGAAAATGTTAGTAAGTGGATGCTTCGCTGTCAAATTACAAAAAAGATATGTGCACGTCATAAGTGTACCAGCAAACCCCTTTGAATGATTAGCTAATCGATGCACAATACAAAACCAGTGATACATCTCTGACCCATAAAACTCTGACTTACAAAGATATACGTCAAGACCACGAACAAAGATCTTCAGAAGTTTCCAGGCCGCTATCCCTTGTAATGCAATGGTATCGCGGCCTGGGAACATTAGAACACCTTCGTGCGTACGCAGTATCAGCAGTACATTGGGAAGAAAAATCGTAGTTGAAATTTGTGCGGTAAAATTATATTGGAAACGTCAAAAAAATTTGTGGGCAGCTTGCACTAGTGGCACAAGGCTAGCGAAGAAACGAAGATGATGGCCACTTGGCTAGTCCAGATTTGCCTCCGGCACACCAAGAATTATTCGTGTTCCGAGCCTTCGGGAAATGCGTCGTGAAGCATGCGAGGCCCAACAAACGCTTCTCAATATTTTGCACCGAGCCTACGACCTAGCTGCCCAGCTATGCTCAGCGCACAGACGATCGCGTCCGTGGCAGACGCAGCACGCGTCGCCTCGGCTTGACGCCGTGCCGCCTTTTCTATACTGCATACGTTGCACAATGTTCCCGTCTAACCGCCGCATAGAGCCACAAACTTTCTTTTTAGCGAACCTCCCAGTCCTTACAAGCTTCAGAAAAAGGTTACAACTGCGTGAATGACACGCCACGTAAGAAACAAACTCGCACACACGAAGCGCAACGTGTGTGTGTGCATCTTTCTATGTTTGTTGCATGGTGTCTTTTTCGCGCAGGCGTAACCGTTTTCTGAAAAAATGACCCAACAAGACCAACAACATGTCATTCAACAAGCTTCGCTTGAAAACGTGCCTCACCTGTTATCTCACGCTTGAAAACGCCGACGCAGCCGACGTTGACGAAAGCGACGAAAGCTTCTCGCTGTCAGTCATGCATGGGCTTGTCGCTGGGTAGATGGTGTTTATGACAGTACGGCTGAAGAAAAATAATCGCGTAAGGTGTGTTGAATAAATCGTTTTTATGTATAAAGAACATACCAAATTTGGGCGTGTAATTATTAATTTGTGAAAACAATTCTGTTGCATTGATTATAACTGTGTTTTTTTTTGCGCTTGCGCCCTCTGACGTGTGGTGGGAGCACTAGTTCGTTACGTAGTCGTGACGCACTTCCTGAGGCCAGGTTTCGCGGAGTGTTGTTGTTGTTGTTGCCCCTTCGCACTGGCACATACCCACTATGGGGGATTGGCCATGAAATCTAGAAGTATCCTATATGAGATATATTAAAAGGTTTATCCTTAATGAAAAAAAACTAATGATGTAATAGAAAATAATAATTAACTAAAAAGGAATATTAAACTAAACAAATAATTGAAGATTGAATCAAGAAGAGAAAAGGTGAGGTAATACTACAGTGGAAGGCAGAAATTTTGAGTAGACCAGACAATCGAGCTTATCTCACCCGGTCACAATCAAATGAATATGCAAATTTCATTCAAAGTTAGACAAGTGTCGTCAGAAATATATTTAAGCAGGCATTATTATGACATGCGCTTTGATTCTCGAATGAAATTGCATACAGCATCGAATACGCTCCTGTGGCAATGTCCCAAGCTAAAGGCACCGAAACTTAGAACATTATCTGCAGTTAAATTTAAACCTACTGCTTGAAACGGAACAATTAAAAGTCTTTTCCTAATTAATGAATAGTTTTTACATGTTATAAAGTAATGCTCTATTGTTTCCGTTTCTTCACAGAATGGACACAGGGGGGATATCGCCAGACCAGCTCTGTGCAAGTAAAAGTTTAATGGAGGGACACGACATCGAAATTTGGTTAAAATAACTTCTAACTTTTTAGATTGACTCCACTGAGGTTTCCAGGGGTATGTTAGGTGCTGATAGTCCGTATATTTAGTAATATTTTCCATAATATCCGTATAAATAGCCCATTTTCTATATCTGATCGACACTATGTGTTCCGATTCTGGTAGTACCGAGATCACAGGGCCATCAAGTGTGGCTCGAGATAGTGAATCGGCTATTTCATTCAACCGTATGCCACAGTGTCCCGGGACCCAGACTAACTTCAGGAACTTCACATGAGGTGGAACTAATGTTTGTAATGTCGCTAGAGCTCTTGATTGTCCTGAAGCTGTGAGAGTAGTACACAGCGAAAGAGAATCAGTAATTATCATTGCACTCTCTTCGTTTGAAGGAAGTTTTCGTAGCGCTAAAATAATAGCCAGGAGCTCAGCTTCGAAAACCGGAGTGAAGTCTGGTAGTCTTACCGAGAATGACCAACCGAGGTAATCTGAGACGATTCCTACTGCTGCCTTTTCTTTATTCACAGAAGCGTCTGTGGCTATTATGTTCTTTATTTCCGCATGAGCTATGTAGTCTTCTAACCTGTCATTTAAGTAACTCGAAGATTGAAACTTAGATAGTGGGGGAAAAATTTCATCACATTCTATCGTAATATTGTGATTTAATGCTTTGGTTCCAATTACCGATCTGATATCCACCTTTATGCTTTCAAGTTTCTTTTGTACAAAAATAATCTGGGGAGTACGAAAGCGTGGCCAGTGAGCGAGGAAGAAGGCGTCGGGGTCACTAATAAAGGCATATGCAGACCGTCTCGCTGATAAGCCGTAAATTTCAAGTATGTTTGTACTGTTAAGATACGGAATCGGCAAAGAATAGTTGGTATGCGAGCTTCCTGATATAGTACATTAATAGCGACATACCTGGGGAGTCGCAAACACAACCGTAACGCTTCTCGCTCTAATAGAACTAACGGTTTAATTTTGTACGTAGGGCCACCCGAAAATAATATACACCCAAAATCGAGTATTGGGCGCATGTACATTTTATATATCATTAATAAGGTGTGTCTACGTAACCCATATTTTCTGTTGCTCAACTTTCGCAATAAGCCTGAAGCTCGTTGTGCCTTTGCCACGATATAGTCTATGTGAGGGCTCCAGTTAAGTTTCTCGTTATAAATAATGCCCAAATATTTGATAGACTCTACTTGTGGAATCGGTTCCTGATTATAAAGTACTGAAATTTGAATAGAATCTGCTATAGGGAACACCAGGAGCGCACTTTTACTGATGTTTAGAGACAATGAAATTGAATGCAGCCAAATTTCAAGAGAATACATGTACTTTTGCAATTTTTGATGCAAAGAATAAATGTCACTGTCTGCAACGAAAAATGCAATGTCGTCTGCATAAATGTAGACAGTGATATCTCGTTCAATGGGAATTGAGCTCATCAACACATTGAATAACAGCGGAGATAGGACCGCCCCTTGAGGTACTCCACGTTGCTGTTTGAATTTAGATGAGTGACATCCATCCTTTGCACAATAAAATTCTCTCGATTTTAGAAACTCTGCTACCCAATCAACAATATATCGCGGAAAGTCACATTCGTGTAAAGAATTCAATAAAATTGAGTGCTCAACGCTATCATAAGCTTTAGCTATGTCTAGTGTTACTAGTACCGCGTATTGTCGTCTTTTTCGGGCAAGCTGTATTCGGCTCTCTAAGTCGGCATGAGCACACCAAATTGAGCATTCGCTACGAAAACCTATTTGAAATGGTTTCAATATTAGCTTGTCAGCCATCCAAACTTTTATTCTATTATTGAGAACTCTCTCTATAATTTTGATCAGGTGAGATGTTAGAGAGATTGGTCTGATGTTGTCAATGTTAAAACCTGACCCTTGTTTTTTTAATATGGGAATCACTCTAGCTATTTTCCAGTCATGTGGTATCCAGGCATTTCTTAAGGAATAGTTTATAAGGTTGAGGACGTCGCCGGGTGATATCTGGAATAAAATTTTAATCATAGGAACTGTTATACCGTCAGGACCAGGAGCCGAAGAGGGTAAGTTTCTAATTACGCTTGACATTTCGGACAATGTCACTTTTTCGTAGTCAGTCTTTATAGAGGACTTTTGCCAGTTGATTGTCAAAGTCGACGAAAATCTGTTAGCTAAACCTCTTCCGATTGCCTCTAACGAATTAGTCATTTCTTCCGTCGATAACCTGTCATAATCAGAGTTAGCTAGAGACGGCAGAATTTTGCGCGATCTCATATATCGGAATAACGCTTTCTTATTTCTAGGTTTGGAAAGAAAGTCGAAATGTTTTTTGTCATAGTCTTCTTTAGCTTTAGCCACGGTGCGCTTAAATGTAGCAGCAATAAACTTGTAATCTGCCCAATTTTTGGGGGACTGATTATGAATTAGCTGCTTCCAAGCCGCTTGTCGTCGTCTATGATCACGAGAGCACTCAGAATTCCACCACTGACTACAAGTGTCCGCTCTTGTCTTCTTCTTTCTCTATGGCGTTATGCAAGGTCCGCAGCAAATCAATAATAATTGTTTTAACATACAATACTCATCAATAAAAATTTAACATTTAGCATTAGCTCATTCGTAGCAAAATTACTACAGCAAGTTGTTTTTTTAATAAAATTAAGTTAGCTGCGACACTGTTCTCTTCGGCCGATGGCTGCCTTGGCGGTTTTGCGCTGCACAAAAGGATGTGCCAAACTCAATGGATTTTGGTGCGTATTTCATTTGAAATTTTCCTAGTCGCTCTAAATTTTGCTTATGAAGTGGGTAGCTTGCAGGTGTTCTACTTTGGCTGCGGTTTCACGTGACGCGGAAAGCGCTGGGAGAAAAAGAGAAAATCGAAGTCCTCGGACGTCAGCGCATACGTGCAGTTTCGTCGCGACCTCAACTGCATTCAGCCTATTTTGACCCAAAAAAGTCGGTCACCGCTAAATTTTTTTTCTCGCTAGAAGCATTTCTCCTACGTCAATCTGTTTACCTAACTTTCCGCTGTCATAAAGTAGTGATGCAACAGAGGGTCGGGCGAAGAAGAAAAACTTTGCGACTATGTCAGCTGATGGCGCGCTTCGGCCGAGGTTGAATGAATGAAACCAGTTTCTGTCCAACTTTATTTGTGTTGTTTATTACCGCGATTGTTTTGCTTATGTGCAAACATTATGTTCCGTGGCTGTCGATTGCGGCGGACCGCCGCCGAAGTCGTGCCCCGGACTTTGCGATGCGGCGAATTCGCACAATGTCGAGACGAATATATAAAATGTCGCGTGTGGCGCGCACGGGGCCAAACCGAACCGAGCGTTGCGGTGTCAGCGCGCGGAGTTATGCATGTGGAGCGTGGTTTTTTGTACTACTGCTGCAGTGGCGGCCCGGCGATGGTGTCGTCGGCGCGCAACGCGGTGGCCTGCGAGCCTCCGTCACACATTCCCGGAGGTATGGCCTGGGTGCGGACATTCTTTCGCCTCGTGAAACCCTCGGGTGGCGGCAACACGCTGCACTACTCCGAGAGAAAGCTGCTCGGGTAAGTCGATGGTGCGCAGTCGCATCAGCTGACGTCTATTGCACGCGCGCCCTTTGCGTATTGCGAAACAGTTCCGAAAGTGCGCTTTGGCAGGTTAGCCTCGGCTTGCGCAAGTCTGCTTTCGTGCCGCGCAGTTTAGCGTATTGCGTGGGACAAGAGACTCACGTGGCTATGTGAAATTGCTGCCTTAGTTTTCCACGAACGTAGGAGTATTAATGCAGTTGGTACTATCTGTTATTCAGCGCTACGGTATTTTTTCGTTCTTGAGTAAACTCTTCGAAGTCGCCTGGCAAGCTCTGCTTTGCGCATTCGTGGGATGTAGTTTCATGTATGCATTGTGTGTGCAGAGCAAAGAAATAGATCCAGTGGAGTACAACACTGGTGCACGTTGTGTGGGATGTACTTCGTATGTACTGCCTCCAGCGATAATCTGCGAGACCGGAAGTAATGCACACGCAAAGCAGCCCTGTAAGGCACTGACGCACCGTTGTTAGGTGCTCGTACGTTTTGTTCATGCTCGCGCGATATAGCTAAAAATGCTGGAGGCTGTACCGTTTAAGCGATTCGGAGGAGGGATATTCTGACTTCGCCAGTGCAGTATTCATATCATAGTACTGTGTAGATCCTAAAGCTCAATAATCAGGTACACACCTGTGGTGTTGTGGTTTCGGTTCTGGTTTGGAAACCGGACCACATTCACATTACAATTCTCGGTGTTTGTCTGCCATTGTTTTTCTCTGTCACTCTAGGATCAAGCAGATACACTGTGCCTTGAGCTCTTGCCATCCCTATGGACTAAGATTTTCGGCACACATATTTGAGTCCAATGTATGAGCTCGACCTTCCATGTACCACAACTTTGACAGCATGTGATTGAACTTCATCTTGTTTTGGATATCAGACATACATCTCCAGGTCTTGACAGCCTCTCCATCTTTCAGCAAATAAAAAGGTCATGTGCATAAATACTAATGATTGTATAACCTTCTCCATTCAAGTATGCAGCAAAACAAAATCCCATCTATTCACTACAAATTTATACATAAACAATGACAAAGATAAGACAAAGGTGCTTGTCTTGTATTCTACACTGTTTAAATATTGAAGAGTGCATGCATGGATCTGTCATGGGTCGATAAGAATCCTCTGCCTTCAGAAACTGGTCCACTTCTGGGTTATACTCCCTTGCAGATTGACATACTCTGTACAGACTCTTTCAATGGACACCGTCATACTTTGCAGGTTATTTCATGTACCTTCAAGGTACCATAGCAATGATGTCAGACTGTTGGACCCGCCCAATCTTTTTCAACTGCTACTGCCAGCAGTGTTCAGGTGGACTTCACGCGTCAAAACCAGCAAGAAGGCTTCCTTAAGGTTGATTTCATTTCGGAAGCAAGTCAACCCTTGCAATGCCCCAAGTTATTATTTTGGTTGAACTTGTTCTTAAATGTGCACTTGCACTTGATTATCTGTTGGTTTGTTGGTCTTGGAACGAGTTCCCATGTGTCATTCTTCAGGTCTTTTACCTCTTCTTTTATGGCCCTTTTTCAATAGTGAGCATCAGTTGCCCAGAGTGCTCCAACCAATGTTCGAGGTTCATCTGTGCTGCCGGGATAGAGTTATGGAAGCTGCTGCATGTCAGCCAACCTCTGCAAAGGTCTCAACACGTTGAGGTTTTCCACTGCCTGAGGAGTAAAAGCATTCTCCACTGAGCTCAATCTTTTGTCCCATTTGGTGGTACTACTGTTGCCCCTCTCTAGGTGTGCTGGATCTCTTCATCAGTAGTGTTTCTGATCGGGTCTACAGCAAGATAACTATTTCCGCAGGTGATATGATCTAACATCTCAGTCTTGCATGAAAAGCTAACTTCTTAAAAGGTTACATGACTATTGACCAAGTACTCATCCTTGTTGAAGGCCCAATTTATATACAATTTAACATCATTTGGGTAGCGCTTCAGCACATACTCAATGTGGAAAGACTTAAAAGAACGAAACACTTTGTGAATTTTTTAATTTTGACCGTTTTCTCATGGACCACCATTATTTTTAGAGAATACATTTTAATCAAGTCTGGTATTCGAAAAGTTTGTGAATTGACTACATGGTGCATGTGGTGAATAAAATCAATGCATCAGTTAGAGGCAGCATTCTCAGATTTCCAAAGATAGTTTTGTTTGACTTGCACCATGTGTATCAACATGTGTACATGAAGGTGTTCCCGGCACATTGCGAAACATGATGCACAAGAACTCTGCCAAGAAAACTGTCAGCAGTAAAAGCTGGAGTGTCCCCCGCTATTCGTGCAAAAGTTGAGTGTATTGTCCCTGGCTTATGCCCCACCGCGGTGGTCTATTGGCTAAGGTACTCGGCTGCTGACCCGCGGGTTGGAATCCCGGCTGCGGTGCCTGCATTTCCGATGGAGGCGGAAATGTTGCCGGCTCGTGTGCTCAGATTTGAGTGCACGTTAAAGAGCCTCAGGTGGTCGAAATCGCCGGAGCCCTCCACTACAGCGTCTCTCAATATCATATGGTGGTTTTGAGACGTTAAACCCCACATATCAATCAATCAATACCTGGCTTGTGAGGCGATGACGCTTGGTTGTCCCTTTTGCCAAACCTGTGAAAATCCTTCAGAAAGCTGATGGACGATTGTATTGTATGCTTACTCTGTGTTCCTTTAGATACTCGCAAGAGCAGATGTTTGAGGTGGTGTCACGGGTGGAATTCTACCGGGACTTTGTACCCTGGTGCACGCAGTCACGCGTCACAACCCGGTCTTCCCACGCCCTGACTGCATACATGAAGGTCGGCTTCCCACCCATCGTCGAGAGCTACACCTCTCATGTCACGCTTGTGAGGCCCACCCTTGTCAAGGTAGGTGTTATTAGCTACTTTGACACATGGCGAGAAACTGGGGCACAACTGTGAAATGGCCGCTATAAAAGGGTACTTATTTAATAAGCTACACTTTTCAACGATTTAGAGCAGACTCTAGAGGGAAAACTCCCCGTAGGACCTATGTGTCGGGACGAACTCCCGACCAAAAGGGCGATGTCATTGTACCCATTACCCAACTGTGCAAGCATTTGCAGCCCGAAAGACAAATGCCAGACTTAATAGTGGTATTCACTTTTCATCGTTATTAATGAAAGTGCATTTACATGGAGGATATTTGCAACTATGTGTCAACAGAAGGCGCAGATGTTCACTCCCTACAACTCAGAGCTCGGTAAGAAGATGCGCATTCGGCGATGATCTCAAACAGAAGTTGATATTGTGGAGACATCTGGAAAAAGTGGCTGCAAATGCACTTTCTGGCGTCGTGAAATTCCAGCTCTCAGTGAATGGCAGTAAATGCCCTTTAATTATTCCTGAATATCTTTTTAATGAGCGTTAAACACTGTCTGCATGTCGCTAATTTTTCAAAATACCCATGTTTGATTTATATTGCCAGTATCACTAATAGTAGTGATTTTAGCCAATCTGTAAATAACTGCAAAGGCAACAGTGAATGTGGTAGCCTGATGGGAGTGTCCTTATGGTCGGTGTTGTTTCGGCCCACCTTTTCCTTCGGAGTTAGTATTAGTCCTGTGACATTTTTGGAGTACCTCAGAGGCCAACCTCACCGTGAGTGAAGCATCAAGAAGCCAGAAAAAACGTGAAAGTTCACTCTCGTAGAAAGAGAAAGGACATTTGTTTTAAGAATTGGCGTGAAAGAGTTCTTTCATTATTCAATTTGCTGCAGCTCCTTTAGTGTAGAGAGTAGCTGGTAATGACTGCTTCCCATGCCTGGTCCACCAGGTTACACAGATTCTTCAGATTTGAGGCTGTAAGCAAAGCCTCCCATGATTCTTCACTGTCCTTTCATGCCTGGTTTTCACCTGCCTTTCTGTGATGCCAGAAAAAAAAAATTGTGTTTGTTACATGTTGTAGTAAGAGTTTCATCATATGGGAGACAAAGTGCGTTGACTGCTGCGCAGAGAACAGCCAATTGTTGTGAGGTCAACGGCATAGCCTGCTTGTTCTTGGCGAGGATGTAAATTGGTCAACTCACTACTGTTACACAAATGCTGTTTTTCTATGGCTGTTTGCTAGTGTCGGTGCGCTTGCTTTGCAGTCGGTGTGCTCAGACGGTCGCCTCTTCAATCACTTGGAGACCATCTGGAGGTTCGAGCCAGGCCTCGAGGACAACCCGAAGACTTGCACGCTAGACTTCAAGGCAAGCAATGGCTGTCCTCGTGTACTTTCGTTTGCTGCCTTATTTGGATGTTTTAACAGGTTACCCTCCAATACTGCTCTGAAGTTCATTGTATTCTCATCTCTTGAAAGACATATTTCAATTAGTGTGTTAGCAGCCAAACGCCATATCGTGTTTGGGAGGATGCTAGACAACAAGTCCTGAAAACCTTCCCGTAAACACGCGGTGAATTGCATTGGAGAGATTGTGTCTCCCTGCCTTACACCCTTTTTTAAGGAAGGCATCTTAGTAACCATGGAGAGTATCTTAGCAACCTGTGGTTTGCTAATGACATTGCCTTGATGGGTAACTCAGGGGACGAATTACAGCTCATGATTACAGAACTGGACGCGAAAAGCAAAAAAGTAGGTCTGAAATTAAACATGCACAAAACTTTAGTAATGTGTAACAACCTCGGCAGAAAACAGCTCTTTGCGATAGCTGGAGAGACGCTGGAAGTTGTAAAGAAATATGTCTACTTAAAGACAGGTAGTAACTGCGGAGCCGAACCACGGGAGTGAAATGACTAGGAGAATAAGGATGGGGTGAATCACATTCGGCAAGCATTCTCAAATCATGAATGGTAATCTGCCACTAACCCTCAAGAGGAAGGTATATAACAGCTGCATCTTGCCAGTACTTGCTTATGGAGCAGAAACCTGGAGGCTTACAAAGAGGGTTTCAGCTAAATTGAGGACGATGCAGGGAGCGATGGAAAGAAAAATGAAAGGTGTAACCTTACGAGACAAGAACAGAGCAGAGTGTGTCAAGGAACAAACCGGGGTTAAGGATGTCATAGCTTGTGATGGCTGCATTTTCGATGGAGGTGAAAATGCTATAGGCCCGTGTGCTCAGATTTGGCTGCACGTTAAAGAACCCCAGGTGGTCGAAATTTCCGGAGCCCTCCACTACAGCATCTCTCATAATCATATGGTGGTTTTAGGACGTTAAACCACATATATCAAATCGAGGATATCATAGTTGAAATCAAGAAGAAAGGGGCAGGTAGCACGTAGGCAAGATAACTGCTGATCATTAAGGGTAACTGACTGGATTCTCAGAAAAGGTAAAGGCACGAAGGAGAGACAGAAAGTCAAGTGGGCCTATGAAATTAAAAAGTTTGCAGGTATAACGTGGCAACGAAAAGCACAAGACCGGGTTAATTGGCAGATCAGTGGGAGAGGCCCTTTGCCTTGCAGTGGACGTAGTCAGGCTGATGATGATGAGACAATTGGGCTAGAATGACAGCGTGTGCACGCTCAGCACGCCCTCTGTTTGCACTAACAAACACTGCCGGACTTTCGCTTTTTTTTCTCTGGCCGATATGAAAGCTGATAAAGTTAATGGCATGACCCATGCTAAATTCTAGGTCTTTCACTTTTCAGCTTATTAGCAAGTTGAAGCTTTAACTTTTGACATCTGTGATGAACCTGGCATGCCCAACCTTCAGTATTGTGAGTGTATGTAGAAATATTATGAAAGCTGTTGCTCAAATCCTACTGAGTATGCAGAAAGAAGGTTCCCCGATGCAGGATATTCTTTCTTTATTTTTAGATTATAAAGGAATCACATTCATGCATTTTGTTTTTCATAGCTTATTTCATAGGAAAGCTTGTTACATGCACTGAGATTGAAGCTAACTGAAGTGTGCAAAGCACAAGTGTCCATACCTGTCCTCTACTGATTCTTTACTTTGCGCTTGTGGTGCGACTTGTTTTATAACTTCCTCTAGTGTGAGCAGCAAGAAATACTGAAAGGGTAGCAATTACAAAGACTTTACCACCCAGATATTGTTATAAAGAGCCTGTACTGATTGGCATGTGATATAAGAACTGCAAAGCTGAAAGGAAATGTGTGCTTGGAGTGGCTGTCTACCAGAGCTTTTGTAACCGCAGTAACAGTTCTGGAACTTCCCATCAAAGACTTACACAAATCCCAGCTATTGCCTGGCACCCTCCCTACTTCTGTATTGTATGCATGTATGTGTCACATGATCCCTTCTCAACAATTTTGTGCTCCCCTTCCCAGACTGCCTAAGTGTGCAATTATCATTAATATCATGGTTTTTAACACTTCATCATCAGCCTGACTACGCCCACCGCAGGACAAAGGCCTCTCCTATGTTCCGACAGTCAACTAGGTCCTACGCTTGCTGCTGCCACTCAATATCCAGTAAACTTCTTAATCTCATCTCCCCCTCGCCTCTGTCTCCCCCTCACCCGCTTACCTTCTCTGGGAATTCAGTCAGTTATCCTTAATGACCAGCAGCTATCCTGCCTACGCACTACTTGCCCGGCCCATGTCCATTTCTTCTTCTTGATTTCAACTATGATATCCTTAACCTCTGTTTCTTTTCTAACCCACTGTGCTCTCTTCTTGTCTCTTAAAGTTACAGCTATCATTTAACCTTAATTTTAACACTTGATAGTATTTAATACTTGGAACCTAGTAATTAAAAAAAAGATCTGGAGAATCTACTGCTTGTGTGTAATGAAATGAACTAGTACAGCACCTTGAAATATCCAAGGGCCAAGTTCTGCATAGCAGAGCAAGGCAAAACAAGTATTCAATTCTGTAGCACAATATCGAGAGGGTACTTTTGGGGTAATGCCCGTAATGCCCGGAACATGAACAGTAGCTCTAGTTGCATTCCTCTTCGTGTAGAAACATTTGTCATTTCAGTCACCATCGTAGGTTTTTTTGACAGATTTCATTTATTTGCCTGATGGTAGCGTTATTGACTTTTTTAGATGGAACCTGCCTGTAGCTTGAAAACCTATTGAATGAAGCTGGCATGTTTAAATAAAGGCTAAACCACCGATTAGCTTGCATGTACACAAGCTCCAGCTTGATTAATTGACAGTGGCCAGATTCATTTTGTGCGTTTCGAGCCTTTTCAATAGCTCAGTATTCAACGACACCCGGCATATCGATATAAACGTAAGCTGAGGTGAGCGCATTGGTTCACATCTCATGTGGGTTCGAAAATCGAGCCGTCGCGAGGTACGGTGAAGCAAGATGCGCTCACGCACAGGTCTGAATGTATATTTATTGTTTGAACTCATACAGCCTCCATGTGAAATCACAATTGCCATTATTCATCGAGCTCACTGTAATAAAATTAGTCACACTCTACTGATATAAATACAGAAAAAATTTTTTGTTCTTGATGCGGGAAAGATATAATTCATCATTTTGAAGTTTAATATGCAATCAAGCGCAATAGTTTACTATTAGCACCACTTTTTACTCGTGTATTCTTATGTGGAGTTAAAGTTTATGCATGTGTCATGTGGGAACTAGTCAAGCACACACCTGGACAGGTGTTGGTTCTAATTACAGTGTAGAAGATTTAAGGTGTAGCATGCCATAATTATGGAAACCGATGCATTTCAGTGGTTCTGTTCTTTTTTTTTTTCATAAGTCTGTGACGACTTCGGGTTCGCATACTAAAATACTTAGTCATAATGGTATGTTAATATCCGAATCACAACGTGCAAACCACGAGAACACAAATGCATGCAAAGTGTAGGCGTATTTGTCTCTCATCTAGCTGCGATTCAAGGTAAAAGAAGAAAGAGCACACATACATTCAGTTTGTGAGTTTATCATTTATCTCTAATTTATCTATTCCCGCAACAGATTAGGTAAAATAACTCATGTCGCCTCGAATAATTCTCGCAGTGTCACATGCTACTATGATTGATGTCGGAGAACAGATGCCTACATAGAGATATGACGTCGGAGCATACAGAACTACATTGGGTCATTTCTTGTTGTGCTTCATCGCCTTATCTTGGGTGTTCGCCTGCAAGATGAAAGGTGGCGTAGTCTAAAAATTGACCTCTTTCCAAAGCCTGTAGCATTGCAAATTCTGACAGGTGTGTGAGTGTTCAGTGTACGCATTACACTCATTAGCTGAATATTGTCAGACCTGCCTCTTATAGCATATTGTATGTACCGAATATGATCTTGCTAAAACAATCCTGTGGCAAGCTTAGTTAGCCAAAGCCATCACTCTCAGCTTGGTGTTCTTTTCGGTGGTTGCCCTCTGCTGCAGGTGTCCTTTGAGTTTCGCTCGCGGCTGCACTCGCACCTGGCCCACATGTTCCTGGACGAAGTGGTGCGTCAGATGACGCGCGCCTTCCTCAACCGAGCGGCCACTCTGTACGGCAAACAATCGATCCCGACGAGAGGCGGCAAGGTGCTGCCCTCTGGAGCTCCCTGACGTCGGCCCCCCGAGTAGTTTTTGCAGTAGACGAGGGCTTCGTCTCCCTATGGATGGACTGGCTTTTAATCTTTTACTTTAGCTCCTCTCGCAGCCGTGATTCTACTCTTCACGCGTGCACCCCAGTTACGCAATGTTCCTCCTAGATCCAACCAACCTGCTTCTGGACTACAAAGTTCATCCACTCGTAGTAGAAGCGACTCGGGTGCAGTGGTTGGGTGATCCAGGCAGCGAGAGTGATCCAGGCACGTTTAAAGGCAGGGCTCCTTCGTGGTGGCCCAAAACAAGCTAGTGTCGAACCAATACGTTTCCTGGCAGCCATCGGCTGGAGGACTGAAGAACGTTCTCAACACAATGCCTCGTGTGAGAGGCCAGATGCTCGCAACGAGTATGAATCGATGGCAACAGCCCTCATAGCTCCTGGGTGTCCTCTTTACCCTGGATGCCTCAGATTGGCTTTGTCAGAAATTTCTCAGCCATTAGTGATGTCTGTAATACAGCTGCGAAAGAAGCTGCCGTGTAAAGCAACGCATGTTTCAGTAAATTGAATTGGACACATTCGTTGAGCAATTGAAGTTCACACATTCATAGTTGTTTAGTGAATGTTTCATGGACTTTAGTGGGTGTAGGTAATGCGCCTTTCATATTGCTAGTTTGCTTATTTCAGATTTGGTATACACACAATGCAAAGCTCATGTGAAGTTGTTTATTTAACATATGTAGCTGAGCAGAAAGCTGCAGTTTTTTGTGAGCAAGATGGGGGGAACGGGGGGGATAGGGGATGTTATGGATTGGGGAAGTCTAATAGGCAAAATAAATGAGCATGGGCTCAAGACTTTTTTGAGCAGATGGTTTTTTAAAAAGTGTTTAGTGGATATTGTTGCTGAGTGCACACTTATGTGGAACATACATCTTTAGTTATTTAACTGTTATACTTTTTTGTGAAATAGCTATTTAAAATAAAATAGTTTTGTTCTTGAAACTCTACTCTTTATTCCTTAATATGAAAAACACATTTGCCTAGACCAGTAAGTGCATGTGGTCTGTCTGGAACCAGTGGGATGAGCCATTGGCCAAAATAAAACGTAAATGTGGGAAACCGAACTGCAAAGTAAATTAACCTTTCCACATGTAATATTGCATGCAGCAGTGTAGTTATTTTATTTCTGTAATAGTCAAGTTTGAGGATAGTTTAATGGAAGCTGTAGTTGCAAATAACATCACGGCTAACATTTCTTTTCTATCCATATTTCAGTGTAGCATTGACTTTAAATGTGATGTACTCTTTCTTTTTTTCTTTGGAATCTCAACAGATTCTTTAAAATTGGATATGCCTGATGGCATATTTCAGCAACTTCAGTTGTATCACGTGAAGTGGATGCTTCCACAATATGTCCAAGTGTTGTTCTTAATAATATGTTCACAAGTAATAGCATGTTTCTTGGATATTTCCGAACTTCACACACAAAAATAAAAACGTGTATATAACCTGCATTCCAACTTTTAAGCACATTCCTGGTTTTTCCTGGTTAGGGTTATATTCAATAGAATACATTATGTCTGGGCACATTCTTGAAACTGTTCAAGTTAAATATTCACCAAAAATATGCTGAATATATAAAAGAGAAGTTGTCCACCCTTTTCCTGTAATCTGCTGGTCAGCTCAGTGAGCAGAGCAACTGTTTTGTTAAGCAGTAGCGCTACGGTACTGGTCTGTGGCAGTACAGATCTTGACTGTTATTGCAGCTGTTGTGGTGTTTGCAGTGGCCATCCCAGGCCCGCTAAGCATTGTCATCATAAAGTCACCACCTTTGCATTTGGATGAAAACACAATGTGAAAAATGTTCAAGTAGAAACTGCCGATGATGATTGCCAAGCCCAGCTTCGTTGAAATGCATTGAGTTCCATTCTGCTGAGACTTTATGCAACTTATCGATCTATGTGGATGTAAGTATTGTCCTAGGTGGCATTTTATTCTGCCCATCTAATTACTGCGAAGTGAGCACAAGGCAAATGGCTTGGAAGGGTGGTGTGATGTGATGGCTGGTGCATTTACCCGAAAGGACCGAGCTGTTGCCATAGGTTTCCGCTAACCACGCACGATGAGAAGGGCGTCGGTCACTGCTTCATCGAGCACGTTTTACACTTCTGGTAGTGGTGTCATCGTTTGGCAGTGTCCGTCACAGTTATTTCATATAATAAGAGGGAAAAGACCCTATAAAGGAGCTTGCATGCACAATGCATCTCATCTTGCGACAGTAGAAGGCCTGTAGCTCTGTACAGCTGCAACTTAATGGGCACGCCGGTGCTCTGATGGAGAAGGGCAGCTAAAGCTTCTGGTTTTTTTGTCTAAGGGGAGAAGGCAGAGCATGCGAGTTACCTTTATTTGCTTCACCTTATTACGCTCAAACCTCATTATAACGAAGTTCAATCTTAGTTTAAATTAATTTGGTTACCGTAATTACTCGAATCTAACGCGCACCTTTTTTCCGGTTAAGCGAGTTCATAAATCGCATGCGCGTTAGAATCGAGTACGAACAAAAAAATTACGGTCAATCTATTGCCATCGCAAATCCAAAATGGCCGCCCCCTACGTGCGTCGGCATGGTGCGTCGGCTATTTCTGCCTATGTGTTTACCATGTGCGGCACTTCGTACGTGTGCTGAGGAGTTCGTCATCTTGTAGTGCATTAGCATCGAAGGCGAAAAAGGGCCGACTCCAAAAACTCGAGTGCACCACGATGCCACTTTTAAAAGAAAAGTCATCGCGTGTGCAGAAACGGACGGAAATCGGGCCGCATCGCGGTCGTTCGGAGTTCACGAAACATGCGTGCGTGACCGGTGGAAACAAAAGCAGAAGATTTTCGACAGCAAAGCTTCACGCAAAGGCTTCAGTGAACCACAGCAGGGTCGGTTTCCGCAAATTGAAGAGCTGCTCCGCGAATATGTGCTTGAGGAGCGAGTGGCACAGCGGCCCATGACGACAGAACTGCTCCAAGTGCGGGCTATGCAATTAGTCTTAGAAAAAAGTCTAATGCGAAGCCTGTTTAAAGCGAGCAGGTGCTGGCTAATTAACTATATAAAGAGGAAAGGCTCTTCCCTCCGAAGGGGAACATGCATATGCGAAAACTTTTGCGGAGAAGTACGATGAAAAGCTTTACAGTTTTCAGAGGTTCGTCCTAAACTTGCGGCGCAACAACGGCTACCTGCTTTGGCAAATCTGGAATGCCGATCAGACGCCTATTTACTTCGACATGCCTGGCACCACAACTGTCGAGAAGAAGGGGACGAAGCAAGTTCGCGTGCTGACATCGGTCCACGGTAAAACTACAGTGACGGCAATGCTCTGTTACACGTCAGATGGGCACAAGCTTTGCCTCCTACCTCATATTTAAATGGAAGACAATCCCGAAAGGAATCGTTTTTTCGAGTGGTGTGATCGTGCGGGCCAGCAAAAAAAAAAAAAAAAATTGGTGCGCGTTGCAATCGATGTCTTACGTTTTTTTTTTTTTTTTTTTCGCGGTGGAAATCGGGTGCGCGTTACAATCGAGGGCGCGGTAGAATCGAGTAAATACGGTATATCTAAAAGGTCATTATAAAAGTATTGTAATGGGGTTTGCAGAGCATAAGGCGAAACAGTGAGCAGCGTCCGTCCAAGCGCAGCAAGCACGAGATTATGCTGATGGCGATGCCCCTGAGGCGCGGAAAAATGCTGCTGAGGCCCTTCTTCTTCACTACAATCGCCCTTCGCTGAAAAGCGCGCCATCCTGGCGGATTAAGGAGAAGAAACGACTAATGGGTCATAGTATGGCTTGAGGCGAGAGACGTGGACAGTGTCGCAGTAGCGTGGGTCTGTGGATGGAATGATGGGTTCCACGATGTAGCTGACGAGTGACGTTCGCTCTATAATGCGGTATGGTCTGAGGAATTCGGGAAGAAGTTTTGCGGAGCGGCCAAGTGCAGTAGCAGGTGCCCAAAGACATACCAATGGTCCAGGTGGAAAGTTCGGAGCTGAACATTCTCCAGGTTGGCGGGATTGCTGCTGCCACTGCTCCTCGGTAGAAAAAGAGCGGGCAGGCTGGCGGCGTTCTTCAGCATGTCGATCAGCTTCGGACAGAGTTGTACTTTCGGACTCATCAGGTTTATATGGAAGAATACTGTCTACTGTATTGGAAGGTTCTCGTCCGTATAGAAGAAAATACGGCGAACACCCAGTAGTAGCTTGTACGGCAGTATTATACGCGTAGGTGACAAATGGGAGAACTTGGTCCTAATTTGAATAATCAGAGGCGATGTACATTGACAGCATACTGCCAAAAGTACGGTTGAAGCACTCCGTCATGCCATTCGTTTATATAGTTTATATAAAAATATAGTGTTTATAACACTATATTTCTTGCAAGAATATTCTTCAAAGCTTTGTTATAACAAATATTTTAATATATCCGGATTCGTTATACGAAAGTGTGAGTGTACTACCACAGTGGTATAAAGGGTGGAGGAGATTCATGAACAGTCTAGACATGGCAGTGAGTCAGCATGGTTGCAGTAGTGGAACAAACTGTAGTTCTCGTTGAATTTGGAGATTCCCACTTTCACAACATCTGATCCAAGTAAATGGGGGGTGCATTGTATGCTGAAAAATGAAGCTTACGGTGGCATAGGGTTCCAAGCATGTGCTATGATGAGTTATCAAAGGCCACGGAGTGGTCATTTTTCACTCATAGGATTTCGCTGTGGACGATTGTAGTCTTGAATAAGCACAGTGAATTTCCTTTTTCCTTGTTGCACTAACCCATTGAAGGACTCAGTGTTAGGGTTGAGTTCGTATAGGAACATGACATGTTTTTGTGTTAGCGAATGCACAGATTTGCAGAGCTCATTGGCTGGGCCAAGAATATCTTGATATCGATTGTCAAAGTTTAATACGTTGTTTGGTGGCCTGTAGTTGGTATGTCAAGCTTTCTTGCTTACTAATTTTTAAAGCGTGAATGTGAGGATTGCTTTCGCCTTACCTGCGCTTGAAAGGAAGGCGATATCTTTCTTTCCTTCCTCAGATAACACTGTTCACACACCTATTATCAATACTGGCAGCAACTGTTCAGAGCTGAAACCATCGATTAGTGGCTTAATTCACATAAAGGAACTACATTACTTCACATTTTAGAAAGCACTGAAAAGTCACGTCTGGGAATGTCGCTCCTCATTGGAAAAAGAGCCTTGCAGGGCTGCTGAATTTCAGATTTTCGAAAACTGTCATTTTCTTATTACCGTTGAGCCACAAAGCTACATTGCTTTCAAGACAGCCAGTTGTACGTTGCCAACTGGCAGAATCAAGGGAAATGTGATACAACTGAAATGTTCGAAATACATATTAAGCCAACCAGCAACATATTTGATTTTATGCAATTTTCTGCATAATGAACTTTCACATATAAGATAATGAGCATGGCTAACTGTATTCTAGACAGTCTCCCCGACTTCTTCAGCAGAAGAATAAAGCAGCATAAACAGCTGTTACGTTGGCGGCAGAGACGTCGCCAGAGACGTGAGCTAGTCAGTGTCACGAGGCAGAAGACCGTGTTTATTGACAGCTTGAAACTTATATCATAAAAGGGGAGAAAGCGGACAGAGAGGGAATAAAGAGAGAGAGAAGACACATGCATGTGCTGTTCTGCGTCCACTTCAGCAACCGCTGGCCGTTGCAACGCATTTGTTTATTTATTTAAATAAATAAATATATAAACACTTC